CTCAAATATGATGGTGAAATTAGGACATTTCCAGATAAGCAGAAATTAAGGGAATTTGTTAAAACCAGACCAACCTTACAAGAGATGCTGAAGGGTGCCTTTTGGACAGAGAAGCAACAACATCCAACAACAACTGACCATTAACACACATGATGACATAACCCAGAAACAAACCCAGCTATGGAACTGTCCAAAGTAAATAAGCCTACAAGATTATAAACAGGGAACCAGAGACATTGACAAATGAGGACAACTACAAACCAAAAAAAGGGAAAAAACTGTGTCATTACAGAACTTCCAGATGGTAGGGAAGTCAAGGCAACTACAAGATAGAACAGACTGTTGTAAACTTGGGAAGAAAACTATAAATCACAGGTTAGCCTCAAAGAAAAATGATAAACCTTCACATCAAAAAAGAGGACCAGCATAAATATTTAGCAAATACTAAAACAATACCAATGAAGGAAGTGATGACACGATCCATAAACAAGCTCAGCATCAAAAATTATATGGAACAAAGAAATCAACACCACAGAAAAGCAGGTAACAAAAGTGACAGCAACAAATTCATACTTGCCGATAATTACTATCTGGCAAGGGACTTATCTCTAAGATTTTATAGCGGAAGAGTGGATGACCAAACTATGGTATATACACATACTGGAGTGCTATGCAGCACTAAAGAATAATGTACAGTCTGTAAAATATGGCATAATATGGATGAACTTGGAGGACATTATACTGAGTGAAATAAGTCAATCAAAGAATGACAAATATAGTATTAGTTTGTTATGTGGAGGGTCAAGGAAAGGTTTATATATGGAGGGAAACTTTCTTTGTTGGTTGCCAGGGTGGGAGGCGCAAGGAGGGAACATTGCAATAAAAAAAAAAAAAATGCATTGACCCATGTCACTTTAGTTTTGTGTATTTCAGTGTACATAAATTATATTTCAATAAAATGCATTTTAAAAAGAATACTTTTCCTATTAATATACTATTTTGATAGGCTTTTAAGTCCATGAGCATTTTTGTCAAGTCATGAAACATCAGTAATTTAAAACTTTTAAGTTTCAAACCAATTCTCCTGAAAACCTTAGAGCGGGTCAAAGTGAAAGGATCTCTGTAGATATGTTGTTCTTAGTTACTGTTGAGTTGGCTCTGATCTTGTGCATAACAAAATGTTGCCGAGTCCCATGCTATCTTCATGATCGCTGGTATACGTAAGTCATAAACCTAACCAGAAAAGTATTACCTCAATATTATAAACATTTTGCCTTTCTTCTAGCATCTAATTTGTACTTAGAACTTTCAATTGGACTTCTGAACCACCCGATCTTCATCACAGCCTGCAGTATTTCTGTTCGAATTTATGAGTCCCAGTCAGTTTTTCACATAGTATTTAAGTGTCTTAGTCTCCAGATATAATCAACTCAGACATTTTGAAGTCATGCAAAAACAGTACTAGGGGATCAGAGAGGTGAAAACTTGGGAAATATTTTAAAAAGAAGGCAGTGCCTGAATCTTAATGTTTGCAGTCAATTTGAATAAATATTCTATCTTGGTTTACTAAAATTTATCACTTTTGTCATTTTGAGAATGATTTTCATCATTTCTATCCTGAGATTTGAGACAGAATTTAACACTTCAGAGTTCTGTTTTCTGGGACTTCATTACTCAGGTTCAGTTACAATTGCACTGATGAAACACAAGGAGTTGAAGAGTTATCTCTGTGATCTAAGTCACTACATATAAAGATAAAATTTATTCAATTAATACCACCTTCCCCAAGTCACAAAAGCATGACCTTAGTATATATAATTGCTTTATTTTTAGAAGTTACACATATTTTAAAAAGGATAATTACTTTCAATATTACTACTAATTGGAACATTAAATGGAGATATTTTCATTTATGACAGTTGAAAACTGAAACTATGAGGCCAAAGACAATGAGTAACTTTCAATTCTACAAGAGATGCTTGGATACCCGAAGATTACACTTCTCAGTCTGTATTAACAACCACAACGTTCAAACACTATCACAACAGGTCAGACACTGAAATCACCAAGTTTTTGCATTTGGAACATTCCACTTATTTTATTCAAAAGAGCACACACACATTTTAAAGTAGCTTTGATACAACAGGTTGCAAACTTAAAAGTTGGAGTTCGTAGGGTCAATGGGATTTTTTTTTTGTAAATTCTTAAATCAGAAAAGTACATGTGTACGGACTTCTCATTTTCCAACTGATCTCAACTTTAGAGTAAGACAGACTTCTTGCTCCCACCAAAAACAAAATAAAACCCATTTTTTCTCAGTGACTATGCAAAAGTCCCTGCTCTTAAAATACTGCCATTTCAATTTCATAAATATTTATTTGAACATTTATTGCTAGCAATGGAATGGTTCTTCTTGGATACTCATGTCTTGTTTTTTTTTTTTTAATCACTAGTCCTAGTTTCAAACAGAGTACAGGCAGTAGTCCTATTCATGGTCTCTAAAAACTATTCCTAAGTATCATTTCTTCTAATATATATTATCATTCTAAGAAACACATTTTTTAACATCTTTGAAATCAGAATGAAGTCAGCTCACAATCAACAGCTTGCATTTGACTCTTGCCACCACTAGTTACCTTCCTGCTCTGTGAGGGCTGCCCTAATCCACTCCCCATCCATCCCAAGCACTTCTCAGCCTTGTCTGCAGAGTTCTTCTGACCTGTGTCCTCTTCTCAGCTGAGCCTCAGCCTGAGAGCTCATGGGCTACAAACTAAGTGATTCTATAAATTAGGCAAATGTGCTGCAAGGCAGGGTGAAACCCTAAGCCATTATACAATTCTGATATTGGTTATAGACTCTTCTGTTTGGTGGTGGAGAACTAAGGAAATGAGAGAAACTGTCATAGTTGGCAGGAGGTCTGGTAGCATAATGCCTAAGGCACTTGACTGCTAACCAGAAGGCTGGCGTTTCAAAACCATCAGCCACTCCTCAGAAGGAAGGTTGGGCACTACTTCTGTAGTGATACCGCCTCGGAAACCCAAGAAAGGGTCGCTATGAGTTGGGTCTGACTCAATGGCATGTAACAACAACGTTATAGCTGGCAGTGCTTTTTCTCAGTTCCCCATAAAACAGCGTGTTATAAATAAATAACATTCCCAGTTTGGTATTAAAAGTTCCAGTCCAAATCTAATATAAATTATCAGTAGGCAGGGATTTTGTCCAAGGCATACGCATTATCAGGAAATAGGAACAATTGTCATTAAATAGTTGTCTGTAGGTCCCTTGAAATTATTTAGCAAAAAAAAGATAATAAATCATCTGTAAACTGGTCCTTGTGCACAGACCTCCCCCATCTCATCATCACAAATAAGAACTCCCTCTCTTCATCTCTTCTTGTAACTTTTTTGTTGTGTTTGCCATCAAGTCAGATCCAACTCATAGCGACCCCCTCCTTGGGTTTCCGAGGCAGTATCACTATGGAAGTAGACTTCCAGGGAGTGGCTGGTGGGTTTGAACTGCCAGCCTTCTGGTTAGCAGTCAAGTGCGTAGGCACTAGGCTACCATAACTTAACTACAGAATGTAATATTCTGGAAGAACAAAAGCAAATATAATCATGTGCTCAAGTTTTTATTTTAATTCTTACAAAATACTGTAGAAACGGAACCAAACAGATATGCACATATGTACAAAATTTCACTCCTGAAAAAGAATCTATAAAAGTAGATGATTAAAAAACAAACTTAAGCTGATTTTCTCAAAGCAAAGTGATAGTAATTTTAAATTGCTGGTTATAGTTATGTTTCTAGGCTTATTTACATACTTTATTATGGTCAGACACATAAAGGAGTTTATTTTAGAAGTATCATCAGTTTCACTTTATTTCATCAAAATAATCCTGAATTCTCTTTCATTTTACAAATCTTTCAACACAAGTACATGGTGTATATTAAGTTACAAATCAACTTCGGTCTTCTTCTTCCTCTTGAGTTATAGGTCGGAAAGGCAATGTAGTTTGTCCTCTTTCAGGATCAGACATTCGAAGAATTCTAATGAGTCTACTTGAAGGAAGTGAGCTAGAGAAAATAAGATTAATTACTCAATTCCATAAAAGTTTTTTTGTATTTCAAAAATTCTAATACTATCTTATAAATATATACATCAAAATGGCTATTATCTGCTAATAGAGGTATTTTTACCTAATATCTAGAGTTCTAGGAGAAATACAATTTATAATAAGGAAACAATTTGTTTTCATTTTTAAAAATTAACTTTCTATTAGGTGCTATGGATTTTCAGTTCACAAGAAGAATAGATGGAAGTAGTTCTATATATGTAACTCTTCTAACTCTTATTCCTCTTGTCCAGTCAGGAAGCCGTTACCAATTATTCCCAATCACAAATGTAATTCCCCATATAGTCAAGTGACCATTTTAGAAATGGAATATCAACTATAAGTGACATTAGTGTCTGTCAGAGATTGAACTGTGTCCCCCCAGATATGTGTCAGCTTGGCTAGGCCATGATTCTCAGTGGTTTGGCAGTTATTTAATAATGTAATCACTCCTCATGATGTGATCTGATGTGATCAGACAATCAGTGGTAAGGGCATCAGGATGGGATGCAACACTCTTATTCAGGTCACAGCACTGATCTGACATAAGGGGAATTTCCCTCTGGGGTGTGACCTGCATCGCCTTTTTACCTTGAAAGATATTAAAGGAACGAGATTGAGTGGAGAAAGAGGGACCTACTACTACAAAGAAAGAAGAGCTGGGAGCAGAGTGCATCCTTTGGACCCAGGGTCTCTGTGTTGGGAATCTCATAGACCTGGGGGAATGGAGATCGAAGCCAAGGCACACAGAAATCTCCAGGGAATGCCGGGCCCATAGATGCTGAGAGGAGATGAGGACCTTCCTCCTAAACTGTGACCCAAGAGAGAAAGAAAACCTTCCCCTAGACCAAGTGCCCTGAATTTGGACTTCCAGCCTCCTAAACTATAATACATTTGTTTCTTGAAGCCATCCACTTATGCTATTTATGTTATAAAAAACTCAAACTCACTGTCATCGAGTTGGATCAGACTCATAGTGACCCCTCCTTGGGTTTCCAAGGCAGTTATCACTACAGGAGTAGATTGCCTAACCTTCCTTCTGAGGAGTGGCTGAGGGGTTTGAACCGCCAGCCTTCTGGTTAGCAGTCAAACGCCTCAGGCACTCTGTCACCAGAGCATCACTATATAACTAAGACTGCCTGACACACTACAGGTACCCAATAAATGCTGACTGACAACAGACAGAGCTTTTTATTTAGAAAGACTGGTACTTGTAAGTCATCAAGAAAAGAGGGCTAGGGAAAAACTGAACTGCTAAAATTATTTTATGTTAGTTGCTCATGAAAACTACAAAAGAGCAGACTCAAAATCGAAATAGTAACAGATTAATAATCATATTGAAATCAACTTGCTTCAGTTACAGGAAAGAGAGAATACAAACAAAATTCTAAACGTCTAAGAAAGAAAAAATGATATTAAATCTCCTAAACTAGTATACCAAACTAATCTGGGGCTAATTTATCTCTGCGTATGGACTATTTATACATTTGCATTAAAAGCTAAGATTATAAAATATTTCTTTACTCTTTTATATACTTGATACATGTTTTCACAGAAGAATTGTAAAAAGTTACCTCATACTTTGAGGAGTAAGCAAGATAAATTGTCTAAAACGCTGGGAATCTGCCATCTTGAGTATCATATCCATGGCAATTCTCCTATTAACCATATCCTAAAGAACAAAAGTAAAATTTACAATCACCATTCTGCAAATATTTCTGTAAAAGCAGTATTCTGCTAGCTGATACTGACATTTGGACTTCTTACCCCAGGAATAACCCATTACCTTAACGATACCAAGACTTTTATGTGTAAAAATATCAAGCTATTAGGGAAAATAATTGAATAAATATATCTTCCAGGTAATTTCTGCAAAATATTTGTATGTATAGCCCCTCCCCTCAAATACACTTAGCAATTAAAGTAAAATAACTAGAAAAATATTCAAAAGATACAACTAAATGTTAAAAAGTAAATCTAAAGGGTACAATAATGTTTAATCACTGGGTAATAACAAGTGTCTAATCCTAAATTTTTTCTCTCAAATTTCCCCTCAGTAAATAAGGTATTTTAGAAACTCTTCACCCTGTGATTGCCTTCTACATTTTAAACAGTGTAAATCAATTAGAGTTTACAGATCAATTTCTTGATCGAATCTTTAAAATAATTTAAACTGTACAGTAAAGAACTGCTTAGTTATAATAGGGTTTGAAATCAAACTAGTGCTTACATTTCTGAGTTAAATAACAACAAAAGAAAAGTTAAAAGCATGTATTTTTAAAGGTCTATTTTAAACTATTTGTGGCAATATGCTGTTGTCAGGTGCCGTCGAGTTGGTTCTGACTCATGGGACCTTATGTACAATGGGAGGAAACACTGCTCAGTCCTGTGTGATCTACACAATCGTCACTATGCTTGAGCCACTGTTGCAGCCGCTGTGTCAATCAATATAGCATGGTGGTTTAGAATAATGCAGCATGATGGAGGCAATCAGGAGACTCAAATCTTGGTTACATTGCTCATTGGCTCTTATTATATAAATTCTTCTATACGGCTTATCTCTGAAGTCATTTAATTTAAAGCTAACAAAAATAACCAGAGCTTGCACAAAAGGAATATTGTCCTTTCAAATCAACTGCCTGGGGGCAAGGGAATATCTATCTTTTAATGATGTTGCCACTGTATTGAAAAATATTTATTTCCTTTGGATCAGTTCTCAGAACTTCTGAGTAATTTTGATGGAGGCATTCTGATTGAGAAGGTCTAGATTTCAGAAAGCTGCTCAGAATTATATCTGACAAGATAGGGGATGATAAAGCACACAATGACATTTTGGGTAAGAACATGGCATGGAAAGAGTGATTGTTTATGATTTTTGAATTATCTTTGAACCTAATTAGAAAAATTTCTAACCAACCTTCCAAAGTGGTATCACAGGAAAAAAGTGACACTAAAGGATTACACAACACTCAAACCAAAACCAAACCCACTGCCCTGAGTAAATGACAACTCACAATCATGCTACCGCATCGAACAGAACTGTCCCATACGGTTTCCAAGGCTGTAAATCTTTAAGCAAGCAGACTGCCACGTCTTTCTCCTGCAGAGAGGCTGGTGGGTTTGAATCACCAACCTTTCATTAGCAGTGGACACTTTAACCACTGAGCCACCAGGGGCTCCTAAAAGTGTAGTTTCTGATTTATGTAAAAATACATTTACTAATTGCTTACTATGTGCTAGCCATTAGGAGGCAGAAATATGATTCCAGCATATTCTACAGCCTTAAAAAAAGCTGCAAACTGCTGGGAAATGCAGATATAAAAACAAGTGACTGTAACAGGATGGGAGCTCTGGTAGCATAGTGCCTAAGGCATTTGACTGCTAACCAGAAGCTTGGTGGTTCAAATCCACTAGCCACTCCTCAGAAGGAAGACTGGGCAATCTACCTCCATAGCGATACTGCCTCAGAAACCCAAGTTTGTTGTTGTTGTTTGCCGTCGAGTCGGCCCCGACTCGTAGCGACCCCTCCTTGGGTTTCCGAGGCAGTATCACTACGGAAGTAGGATTGCCCAACCTTCCTTCCGAGGAGTGGCTGGAGGGTTTGAACTGCCAGCCTTCTGGTGAGCAGTCAAGTGCCTTAGGCACTATGCTACCAGAGCTCCTAGAAACCCAAGTAGGGGTTGTTATGAGTCCAATCTGACTCGATAGCACTGACTTTGACTTGTTTTTTTGGTAATAGGATGAAAACCACTCTAATATTATGAGCTGATTATCAAGGGAACTCTGAGGAGCTCTTAATCCTGCTTGACAGGGCATGGTGGTCATGGAAGGTTTTGTAAAGGTGACATATGAATTGAGTCTTGACAGATGAGTAGGAGAATTTGACAATAGTCACAGTTCCTGTGTCTGTAAGCGGAATTTGTGGGTAAGATGCAACAGGTGTATATGTTTCTTAGCCTTATTTTGGTGCAAAAGAAAAGCTTAAAATAAAAGATTTAGAAGCTGCACATGCAGCAAATGAAGGTGACTGTGCTGAAGAATTTCTTGTGAGTAAGGGTTGGTTCAATACAAAATGAGGGCAAATTCAGGTAACATTAAAGGGCAAGGAGTTGTTCTTAAGTCAAATGTTAGTAAGCCAGGGAGGACTGCCTATACAATGAAAAAGGACAACATAAACAAAGCACAAAGATCTAAAAGATAGAAGCACAGTGTGCTTAGAAAATCTCAAGAACCTAATATAGTGGGAAGAGCAGGAATATACTCTATTATGAAGGGTAAGTTATCCTACAGAACTAGAAATTTATCTCATAGAGTAATTTAACCATTGAAGGCTTTTAAACAGGAAAGTGACCACAGTCAGATGTGTTTTAGAAATAAAAAGCAAGCAAAAACATGGAGAACAGATGGAAAAAAGAGTAAGATTATAATTATAGTCTGGGAACCTGGACCATTACAACAGGCGAAAGGTGAGGAGATGGAGATGACAGTTATTCAGTGAGAAAAAGAGTACAGAGATTAAAGATAGACTTTGAAAGGGAACAGACAGAGGTCGTACAATGTGAGGGTAAAAAAAGAAGAATCACAGATAATTAAGTTTCAAAATCAGGTGACTGGTTGGTAATGAAAGTTTGCCACAAATCAAGGAAGAGAATTCAGAAAAGGAGGCTTTGAGAAGAGGCCATATTTAGTATCTCACATGTTGAGTTTAAAATGTTTACTGTGGTAGTTAAGGTTGTATGCCAACCTGGCTGGTCCTGGTTGAGTGGCTGGGCAGCTGGATGTAGTTATTCCCCACGGTGAGACTGGTAATTAACTCCGTAGTGGAATCTATTGGAGCAGCTGAGTAGCTGCTTTGAGGATGTGGTCTCCTTCCAGTACATAACAAACAACTTTGAGGAAGGACTCCAGTTGATGGCACACTTGAACCCTGCATGTAGCTGAGTCATTGTTCAGCAGCCTGCCATGTTGCCAATGATCTTGGGACTTTTAATGGACTTGAATCAGTGGCCTGCCACGTGGTTTGGTAATATCGAGACTGTGCCTTTTCACGTATCGACTTTGGGCTTGTCAGCCTCCGCAGCCAGCAGCTGCCTGAGTGAAGAGATGCCTCTAGCTTCAGCGGGCTGCGAGCAACAGGCAAAGCTGAAGCGTAATGTTGAGGGGCTTTCACCCAGCCCCTAGAGCCCAGCACTTTGAACTTGGACTTCAAGCCTCCAAAACTGTAAGAGTAAACACCTTCTTGTTCAAGCCATCCACGTTTGTGTTATATTCCTGTCAGAGTGGCACTAGGTAACCAAAACAATTACTAATAAAATCCAACATATAGTTGGATGTATGGGTCTCAAGTGCAAGAGAAATGTCAGGAGATACTTACATTTGGTAAGCATCCAAATGTAAGCAGTAACAGTTCTGGGGACTGTGTGCATATATGGTGGGGGAGGGGGAGGGTACAGTATGCAGGAAAACCAGCAACAGTACTAAAGACAAATAAACAAGATCTCAAACACAGAAGAGCAACAGAATTAGGGGAGGGAGCTTGGCAGGTAGAGAACCAAGAGCAGGAGACAGAAGAACCAGAAAAGAAGTGTGGAAGCTGGCAAGTAGATGTATTTTAAGGGATGGAAGACAGGGTTGTGGTGAGAATTCAAGTAAGATTAAAAGCTCATTTATGATCTTTGGTAAACAAAGTTTTGCTGGGGCACTATAGTCTAAACTCAGGTGACAGTGAGTTTCACTTAGGAAAGAATGAGATGTGAAGAGAAAGCGTATTAATTTGTGAGTACTCACTGGGAGTCTGCACCACAATAAGTGCACTGCACACAAGGCCTCATTCGAGCCTCACTATGACCCTATGAGATAGGCAACACTAATACTCTTATTTTACAGATGACAAAAAAGAGATCCAGAAAAGATAAATACTTTGCCCAAAGTCATTTGCATAGTTGGTGGCAGAACCAGGTCTCAAACTCTGGGTTTTTAAACGTCAAAGTCAAATGCTCATGCTCCTTTACGTTATATACACTGCTCTTTTGAAAAATACAGCTGTGAAGGGGGAGAATGCATAGCAGCTAGTCAAACATGGGCAGTGAACTGTTTTAATTTTGTGAAGAACAAAATGAAGGGACTGAACATGTTTATAGGTTGACAGAAAAAACGAGGGTAGAGACTGAAGGAGAGAGCCTATCTGAAGGAAAGTATGGACATCCATGATGGTAGAGAAAGGCGATGAAATCTATGACAGGGCCTCTACAGTTGTTGAATGCTGGTAAGAACTCTTGAGTTATTCCATACCAATTATAAAGTGTCAGGGCAGGTTCCTTCTCTTCTGGGTAAAACTAAACAAATAATTGCTTCCTTTCAAAATGCACATACCAAACAAAAAAAAAGAGACAACTGAAAATTTAACAATACCATGTAGACATCAAACTCATCCAGGCATCTGAAAGGAGATTCAGCAATGGACCACAGAGAAAGAATGAAGCAAACCGTGGAAAAAGAACGTTCACCTCCAGATAAGGCTCTCATGTCATTGAAAATAGCTCTATTTCCCTCTCCAGGCTGAACCTTGAATAGAATGTTTAACAAGGGACAAAAGAAAAAAAAAAAAAAACTAAGTTAAATTCTTTACAACATGAATTGGTTAGTATTAGAAATAAAGGATCTACAGTGAACAAAACAAAAACCATAATGATAATAATAAAATCATTTAGTGATGTGAAATGACATCTACTCCCTCTAAAATAATTTACAGTAAATGAGTAAGCTATATAATGATTTTGTTTTATTGTCAAACTGAAAACCTTTTTATTACCATAACTATAACATAAATCCAACATACAAAACTTTGAACGTTTTAAGGACACAAGTGCTAATGTTAAAGAAACATTAGTAATCAAAATTAAGAATTTTAGCCCATCTAAAGCTGTTACAATTTGAAACATTTCTAAATGCCGAGATAATCTTTTGTTACTTGAATTACAGTGCCATCTAGTGGTTAAACTGTATCAAAAGGCCACAAGACCAACTGAAAGAGGCTTACACTGCATAAACACTAACAGCCAAAATGGACTGAAACACATGAATATCTTAAAAAATCCTTGAGTTTATTATTACATCGTCTTAAAAAAATAACCCTTTACTAAATAAGGGCTCACGGGAACAATAAAAAAATATTAAAATTAACAATACTTTCTTTCCCGGTTAATTTCCTGAGAAAACAATCCAAATAGTATTGAAAGAGACTCTATTTCCTTTTGACAGAATTCCAGATATACATATATCTGTGTGGTACACAGAAGATACAGCATCAACCAGTTTTGTGTCATTAGCAGACACACTGCTTTAAATATTTTCTAATCTAGTAGTTGAGGTATTACGTACCTCTCAAGTGAGCATTCATTTATCTTAAATTCTAAGGATTAAAACATTCTGAATTTTTAAACATACACTGAAATTTTATACTTATCATCTATAAATCAGAATCCTCTATTAAAAAAAAAAAAACTCTTAAAAAATAATAAAAGAAACATTAACCTAAGCAGTAAAAAACAAAAGCAAACCAAACTAAAAAACACCATAAAACCAAGAATTACATGCTAGAGTGCAATGCTTTATCCCAAATTGCATTTTGTATAAATCTAACAAATGAAGCCTTAGATACATTTTTGAGATTTATATTTTATCCCTGGTCTATTACTAACTTATCATTTACCTTATATCTCAGTTTTCCTTATCTATAAAATGAAGACTAAATAACTTAAAGATTCTTTGCTACATATATATATATAGAGAGAGAAATACGTAACATTTGCAGTCTCCCATCATTTTTAAAAAGTATTTTTATTGCAGTGAAATACATTTAACAAGTATTTTTCATTTCAATCATTTTTATGAGCACAACTCATAAAATGACATTGATTAATATTCATCATGTACATATACTGAATCACCACTATCCATTTTCCTGCTCTGCCTGCCCCTGGTGGTGGTGGTGGTGCTACGTGCCATTGAGTTGTACCCAACTCATAGTGACCCCTCCTTGGGTTTTCGAGGCAGTATCACTACGGAAATAGATTGCCCAACCTTCCTTCCGAGGAGTGGCTGGTGGGTTTGAACCGCCAGCCTTCTGGTTAGCAGTCAAGTGCCTGAGGCATTACGCTACCAGAGCTCCCCCTACCCCTGGTAAAGCACGGATAAACTTTTGCATGTATGTGTTTCAGTTATTTAGTGCTGCTATAACAGAAATACAAGTGGAGGTGTTTATCAAAGAAAAATCTATGTGCTCAGAGCTCAGGAGGCTAAAAGTCTGAATTCAGGGCACGGGCTCTAGAGGAAGGCTTTTTTTGTCAGCCCTGGCAGAAGGTCCTTGTCACTTCAGCTTCTGTTCCCTGGTTCCTTGGCGATCTTCATGTGGCTTGCCATCTATTTTCACCTCCCTGCCCCTAGTTGGCTTACTAGTTTAATCTTTTACTTATCAAAAGAGATAAGACTTAAGACAAGCCCTACATAAATCTTGCCTCATGAATATAAAAGACAACCCATTCCCAAAAGGGATTATAACTATAGGCATTGAGGGTAGGATTTAAAACACCTATTTTGAAAGAGGAGCTGTGGAGAGGCACTGACTGTGAATCAAAAGGTCAGCAGTTCAAACCCAGCAGCTGCTCCATGAGAAAGATGTGGCAGTTCTACTCCGTCTATACTATAGAGTTGTGACAAACTGGAATCAATTCAATGGCAGTGTGTTTTGTGAGTTTCATTTGGAGGACACAATTCAATCCATAACATTCTACCCTTTGGCCCCCAAAATTCATGTCCTTGTCACCTGCAAAATACATTCATCCCATCACACTATCCTAAAAGTCTTAATTCTACTCCAACTCCAAAAATCTCATCTTCTGAATCATCTAAATTAAATATGTGTGAGACTTTAGGTAAAATTCTGCCCCATCTTGAGGCAAAATTCCTCATCATCTGCGAACCGAGAAATCTGTGAAATACTGGCTACAAGTTACCAGTTTCCAAAATTCAGTGGTGTAAAGGTAGACATTTCCATCACAAATGGGAGAAATCGGAGGGAAAAAAAGAGATAACAGGCACCAAGCCAGTCCAAAACCCAGTGGAACAAACTATATTAGCTCTCAAAGCCTGAAAATAATCCTGTTTTATGAGGCCATCTGCTCAATGGCCTTGCTCTCTAGGCTCCAGGTATTGGCTACATTCTCTGGATTCTGGGTGGAGGCCCCCTGGTCCTGGGATTCAACCCTGCCTTCCAGGTCCACTGAGATGGCAACTCTGCTCCCTTGGTTTGAGGTGACCCTACTCCCTTGACCCTGGCAGGCCCCATTCTCCTGCCACTTGGGGATGGCAGCCCTATCCTCTCAGCTTTGGGCAGTGGTCCCATCCTCTGTGCAGACCTGAAGGGCAGCCTCACATTCTAGAAGAGACTTGGTGAAAAGACGATTCTGAAATATTGAAGCTGGAGCTCCATCTTAGAGACGTAGGAGACAATGGCTCCATGCTTTGAAATCAAGGCAGCCCTGTTTCCTGTGCTCCTTCCAATAGTTCTGCTGATCTCCAAGCTACTCCAGGGATGGTCCTTTCCTGTTCTTGGAGGACATCAAATGTAGCTCCTTTGGCCTGTTTCCTGCCTGTAGAATCTCAAGAAGCAGGTAGTTTTCTTTCCTTTCATCCTGTCTCTGTCTCCTTTAGTCTAAGCAGATGGGTTTTCTGCAGTGGTATCTGGTTAGATCCATCAGTCAAAGGCTTCATCTCTTTGAGACTGTGTACCCACATCTTTGGTAAATATTCTACACCATGTGCCTTTAGTCTGTACAACAGAATTTTCCAAATCTTTTAAGTTTTAGTTTAATTTTGTTCAGTTCATTGTTAATTCTTTCTCTTTCCTACTGCATTTTATTTTAAGCGGCAAGGAAAAATCAAATGGCATTTTTAAGATCTTGCTTAAAATTCTCAATCAAATATCCAAGTTCATCACCTCTAAGTTCTATCTTCCAACAAACATTTGAACATAATTCAGACAAGTTCTTTACCACTGCAAAAAAAAGCATCACTCTTATTCCAATCTCATATTCATCACTTTCTTTTTTAATTAATTAATTAATTAATTGTGATGTGGGTGAAGGTTTACAGAGCAAATTCACTTCCCATACAGCAGTTCACATATTTTTTGTCTCATGACATTGACTACAGTTTACCACAATGCAACAGCTCCCCTCCCACTTCCACCTCTTCCCTGTGTCCATCCCTCCATGCACTCCTGCCCCCTGAGCTGTCTCCCTGTACGTAAACAGCCCTTCTTTCTCCCATGATTGTTCTCTCCAAGGAGTGTATGTACTAGAGGTAAATGTTCAACTCATATGCCCGATTTTGTTTGGATGGAAACCACCGGTGTGGGTTTAATTCCAGATCTGAAGGGCAGCTAGGGACCATAGTCTCAGTGGTTCCACCAGACTCTATCAGACCAGCAAACCTGGTCCCCTCCTTTTTTTTTTCTCTCCAAATGATTCTGAGTTTTGTTCCACATTGTTCTCCCTCTCTATCAAGGATCTCTTACATAGATCCCCTTCCAAGTGGATGACAGTGGTAGCCGGGCACCATCTACTTCTTCTGGTCTCACAGTCGTATAGGCTGCAGATCAGATGGTGTACCAGTCACTAGGCCTAATTGTTTCTATGAATTTTTGTTTTCTTCATTCTTCTTTGCTCTGGATGAGGAGAGACCCATCATTGCATCTAGATGGCAGCTTGCTAGCTTTTAAGATCCTAGTCGCTACTCACCAAAGTAGGAGGTAGAACAACGGTTTGTATAGTATGTTATGCCAATTGAGCTTGATGTCCTCTGTGACTATGGTCCCAAGCCCGCAGGTTCAACTACTCAGTCCCTCTGGGTAGCTGGCTGGGACCAAGGAGTGACCACAACCTTGCCCCTTGTCAGCTCTACTATACACCTGGGAATTCTGATAATTCACATAAACTTGTAGGACCGTTGTCTGCCAACATGATATATGTTCTTGGATACACTCCCCATTTCATAGACATACCTAATCAATTGTTCAGCCTTTCCACCCATCTGTCCATCAATAACTGTATAACCCATGTTAGCCTTCACTGACAACACAGTACTGTATATACAAAAGGGTTCATATTTGTTGTCTGTACCTCCCACATACTTCTCCATGTCTTTCTCATCCTCAATGCTGCAATACTGGTCAGTCACATTTGGTACATTGATCTTCTCTTCACCCCTCTTCACCCAAATCAATACTTATCTCTATCTAACTAACAGTGTTCCCTCCTCTCCCCTCCCACCCCTGGTAACCAACAAAGAAATTTCCTTCTATAGAAAAACTTTCCCTTAAGTTTTACAGTAACGGACTAATAGAATATTTGTCCTTTTGTGATTGTCTCATTTCACTCAGCATACTGTCCTCCAAGTTCATCCACGTTCTGCGGTGTTTTACAGATTCTACATTATTCTTTAGCATTGCATAGTATTCCATTGTGTGTATGTACCATAGTTTGGTCTATTGTAAATAGTACTGT